GTCGGGGGCAGGGAGGCCCGCGCGGGACGGCGGCCGCGGTGGGGACAGTGGGCCGGGCCACGCGGCTGGGTGAGGGTCAGCCAGGCCACGGGCCTTGGACAGGACTGGCCTGGTGCTCCTCGGCCGCCGACGTCGGACACGGCGAGGGGGGCTCCGGGGGAACCCGCGGGGGGACGGCGCTAGCCTGGATTCCCCCATCCCGGAGCCAATCAGAGGCCTCTGGGTCAGGCCAGTCCTCCGCCCGCCCGGCTCTAACGTGGCCCTGCCGTGTCCCCCCCCCAGGGAGCCCGGTGTCTCCGCGGCGAGGAAGCTCCGGGCCCAGACTTCTGCGAGATGGACCGAGTGACCAGATACCCGATCCTCAGCATCCCCCACACACCCCGCGCCACGGGCCTGGCCCTGGATGGGGACACCAGCCACACCTTCGAGCTGGTGGCCGTGGGGCCCGAGGCCAGCAGCTGGGGCCAGGACCAGGAGGCACAGCTGGGCACAGCGAGGACGGGGGCACCCTGTGGCGTGCGGGCGTCTTCCAGCCAGCTGTCCCTGCGGCCACTATACTGGGAGGGTGACAGGGACCGGGAGGTGAAGGGTTACCACCTGGACACCGGCGACGCGCCCTCCAGGAGGCCATGGGACCTGGAGCAGGAGCGCTGGGCGGTCATCCATGGCCAGGCAGTCAGGAGGAGCGGGACAGTGGCCACACGCTGGGGCACCCCTGACCATGGGGCCCTCGGGAGCCCCGGCCAACCCCCGTCCACGCCCCCCGGGGAGAGCGTGGTGGACAGGGAGCAGATCGACTTCCTGGCAGCCCGGCAGCAGTTCTTGAGCCTGGAGCAGGCCGGCACGGGGGTCCCTGGGAAGCCCCCGGCCAGGGCAGCCGCTGCCTGTGCCCCACCAGGGGTCAGCCAGGCCCCCCAGGCCTCGGCCGGGCCCCACCTAGCCAACGGGTACGGGGGGAGGGAGGCAGCCAGCGGGGAGAGGGGGGGCCACGGTGTGCCTGCTGGGCCGAGCCTCCCACCTGGGCACAGCCCCAGCCCCCGGCCCCAGGAGAAGCCCCCCGAGCCCCCCAGGGAGACACCCATCGAGCGGGAGATCCGGCTGGCCCAGGAGCGGGAGGCAGACCTGCGGGCACAGAGGGGGCTCGGGCGGGCGGCCAGCCACCAGGAGCTGGTGGAGATCCCAGCCAGGCCGTTACTGGCCACACAGAGCCTGGCCACAGCCCTGCGGCGGGACAGGGGGAGGCCGTCGCTCTGCGTGCAGCGGGACATGGTGCAGGAGTCGCGGCGTGAGGAAGACCACCGGCAGCAGAGCTTGCGGGCGGGCCGCGCGTCCACGCCCGACAGGGTCTCCGAGGACTCCCAGCCCGGACTCAGGAGGGCCCTCAGCTCGGACGCCATCCTTGGCGTGGCCCTCCACCCGGAGCCTCCGGGGAGGCAGGTGAACCGCATCCCGCCTGATGCCTACCAGCCGTACCTGAGCCCTGGGGCCCCACGGCTGGAATTCTCAGCCCTCAGAGCGTCCGGCAGGCCTGGCAGCCTCCCCACCAAGGAGACCAGGGCCACAGGGTCTCCGAGCCACCACTCAGAAGTCCCGGGGAAAGCCTTGAGCATGAAGCAAGAGCACTGGAAGCCGCCCGGGGGGCCCCTGCGAGCCAGCGGGGGCGTTGTGCGGTGGGAGTACTTCCGTCTGTGTCCCTTGCGGTTCAGGGTTCCAGACGTGCCCCTGCAGGCTGAGGCCCCACACATCTGGGGCTGGGAGGTGCCCGGGGGCCCAGCCTTGAGGCTGCAGAAGTCTCAGTCGTCGGAGCTGCTGGAGAAGGAGGTGGAGAGCGTCCTGCGCAGGGAGCGGGAGCTGGCAGAAGAGCGGAGGAGCGCCCTCTTCCCAGAGGTCTTCTCCCCACCGCCTGAGCCTGAGGAGGGCGAAGGCGGGAGCCCGGACTCCAGGAGCTCCTCACGGGCGTCTGGTGAGGAGGGCTGGGGGTGGCAGCTTTGCTCAGATCTGAGGTTGGCCGGGAGCAGGGTGTCGGGAAGGGGCTGGGGGGGCCAGGGGACACCTCCTGACTCTATCCGCCCTTGCCGCCCTCGGCTGGCCTAGCTGCATGTCTGTCAACTCAAGCCATAGACAGGGAGAAAAGTCAGATTTTGCTTTATGGATTTGAGTGTCTTGTTCTTAGGTGCGTAGAGGTTCACAGATAAACTGAGTCAACTGCTCCTTTGTGTCTGTGAGGCAGCCTCTTGTCACGTTTAACACTGCTCCTTGCACAGCAGACCCACCTGTCTCCTGACTGGTCAGCCTCGCCAGCGAGTGGGTGCCGTCCGTCCACAGGGAGAAAAGTCAGATTTTGCTTTATGGATTTGAGTGTCTTGTTCTTAGGTGCGTAGAGGTTCACAGATAAACTGAGTCAACTGCTCCTTTGTGTCTGTGAGGCAGCCTCTTGTCACGTTTAACACTGCTCCTTGCACAGCAGACCCACCTGTCTCCTGACTGGTCAGCCTCGCCAGCGAGTGGGTGCCGTCCGTCCACTCCCTGAGCCCCTGATTCGGGTCTCATCCAGAGACTCTGGTCTCCTGAGCGAGGACTCCTGAGTGTCCTGCCCTTCTTCTCTGGCCCCCAAGGTATCACAGGCAGCTACTCGGTGTCCGAGCTGCCCCTCTTCACCCCCATTCGCCTGCACTCAGAGCTGGTATGGACAACAGAGGCCCCAGAGGACAGTGTCCCCAGGCAGAGGAAGCAGGACCTGTGGGTGAGTCTGCAGCCCTCTCCCCAGACGGCCCTGCAGGGCCCCGAGGGCTGAGCGAGCCTCAGCATGGCCCGGGTTTGGGTAACACCTCTGCCCGCTGGTGACCGTGCCTCGGTGTGCCCAGCTTGAGGGAGTAATGACCTGCGTGGCTTCGGCCTGGAGAGGCAGCAGCAGGGTCTGTCCCTACCACGAGGTTGCCCCGGGGTGGCTCTGCTGGAAGGACGAGGGCCCGCAGTTTACTGCCACTGGTCCCACCTGGGTGTTCCTCTGAGACCCTAACGCCTCCGTGGAGCTGGCCACGGTGGAGCTGGCCACGGTGGGGCTCGGGCACGGTGTGGGCAGCTCGATGCCGCTCCCCGGCTAGCCCGCTCACCCCCTGACAGGCCCTGGATGGTACCGCTGTGGCCCAAGGGGTGGGGGCCCGCTGAGGACAGAGCCCCACACAGGGAGGGTTGGCTTCCCTACCACGGAGCACAGCGAAGTGATCCTGACTGCAGGGGCAGCCGGGGCGGAGGGAGCTGGGCGCTGGGACCCGGGGAGGCCTCGCGGGCGGCGTGCAGGGGTGCGTGTGGGGAGGCTGCAGGCTGAGGCTGCTGTCTCCCACAGTACGCCGGCCTCGACCCCTCGGACCACGTCAGCGCAGAGGTGAGTGCTCCCCCGTTCACGCACCCTGTCCTGGTCTCCTTGCGGCTCCGGCTCCTCATAGCCCAGCCGGGTCCACCAGGCACCATGCCCTGCCCTCCGGCTCCTGGGAGGAGCGTGGGGCCCTAATGCGTGGCCGAAGCCCGGCACCTGGACATGTGGGGGCCGGCCAGAGCAGCCACCTCCTCCCCACACGACAAAGGCTTTTGAGCAGCTAGGCCCCACACGAGGGAGCCCGGCCCCTGGGCCCCAGGCTGGTCCAGGGCCAGGCCCAGTGCTGTCCCCACGAGGGCCCAGGGTCCTTCCCGGCCACCGCATGGGAGGTCCCGCTTCAGCCCCTCCAGGGGCAGGTGGCGGAGAGGCCTGACCACCGTCTCTCCTCCCTGTGCAGGACCTGGAAGCCACACGGGTGGCCCGCCACCAGAGCCCCATGGCCGAGCGCTGGGAAGCCGGCCTGTACACCAGCGAGGACAGAGACTGAGCCGTGGGGAAGCCCAGACCGCCCTGACCCTCTCTGTTCTGCCCCTGGGACGCTTCCCTGCTGCTAGGGTCCACACCTGGGCCTGGCGGGACCCCGCCATCTCTGCTCCAGGAGGAGGGTGCCAGCTCCCGACGTTCCTTCTGTGGGAGGGCACGGGCATGGAGGGGCAGACAGAGCCGGCCCTCCCACCCCGCGGAGACCCCCTGGGCCCGGGTCCTGGGCCCTCCTGCCCCAGCCACACCGCTGGACTCCCGGGTCCTGGGCCCTGGGGCAGCCCCAGCCCCACCAGCAAGAGAGGGGCTCGCGGGTCCCACACCCGCCCGGCCCTCGCACCCTGGGACATAAACCCCAATGAGCTGCTGCCGGCCTGGGTCTTTCTTCCCCCACAACTCCCACCAGGCGCGTCCTGGGACTTCTAGACAGATGGCTGCCGGGCACGTGTGTGCCCGTGTGTGAGTGCACGTGTGTGTGCTTGAGTGTGAGTGTGCACGTGCGCGAGTGAACGTGTGTGTATGTGTGAGTGTGAGTGTGAGCACGAGTGAGCGTGTGAGTGTACGTGTGTGCATGTGTGCGTGTGAGAGTGTGCGTGAGTGTGTGCGTGAGTGAATGTGTGTGCGTGCACGTGTGTGTGCGTGTGAGAGTGAGTGTGAGTGTGTGCACGAGTGAACATATGTGCATGTGAGTAACTACCCAGCACACCCTTCCCCTGGGGCTTAGTGAGCGTGTGTCCAATCCCAGATCTAGGTCTCAGGGAGCCGGACTCACCCCAGGACGCAGGGTCAGAGGATCAGGATGAGGGGGATAGACCCCTGGGCTCCCCAGCCTCTGAGCTCCCCAACCCTGAGCTCCCCCGACCCCTGGACTCCCCAACCCCTGAGCTCGCCCCCCCTGACCCCTGAGCTCCCCCTCCTCTGAGATCCCCAACCCCTGAGCTCCCCAACCCTGAGCTCCCCAACCCTGAGCTCCCCAGCCTCTGGACTCCCCGACCCCTGAGCTCCAGGGCAGTTGGGGCCCGTCCCCACAACGGTTCCCCCATCTTAAGAGCCAGCCCAGGTGTCGGGGTCTCAGAAGAGTCCCCTGGGCCCCCTAACCCTTCCTGCCCCCTGGAACCATGAGGAAGTGACATTATGCAGCTCAGGACTCAGCCGGGACCCCCAAGTGCCTGCTGGACCACCCTGGCCTGTCTGGCTCTGCAGCCCTGGCCTGGTCTCCCCTGCTCTGCCTTGTCCCGTCTCTGTCCAGAGGTCTCTCCCCGTCTCTGTCTCCATCTCTCTTTTCCTGTCCACGTCACTGCCCCCACCCCAAATATCCGAGTCGTGTGTCGGTTCAGAGCTGCTGGTGAGCGAAAACACATGAGCAACGGGCTCCTCCAGGAGTGCGAGCACGAAGCCCCCCCCCCCGCCACCGGTTCTGTTTGGTCCGAAGCTGATGGGAGGCAGGCCTGGGCAGGGGCCGCGGGTGAGGCCAGGCCAGGCTGGGCGGCAGAGTGGGACCTGTCTGGAAAGGACGGTGGAAAAGCTGGACAGACGGCGAGGTCGCTACGACAAGGAGGGACGTGCTGGTGGCTCAAGCGTGGACGCTCAGGGAGCAGTGCCAGAGGACAGGCCCCGTGCGACCCACTCCCAGCAGGTCCCTAGGGCAGTCCCACCCACAGGGACAGCGGGAGCGGGTGCCAGGGAGTGCATTTCCTGGGGATGGGACTGCGGTGGGCAGCTTAGAAGGTTCTGGAGCCGGACGGTGGGGACGTTGCCACAGCCGTGGGGACACGCTCACACGCTGAGCTGGGCGGCCGACCATGGAGCGCTCGGGGTGAGACCTGTCTGCAGGCTGGGACTCACGGGGGCCAGGCGCGGGGCGTGCACCTGTGAGCCCGGTGATCCAGGGGGCCGAGGAGGGCGGCCAGAGCTCCAGGCTGCCGGGGCAGCGTGGGAGACCCTGAGAGAGCGGGGCTGGGGTGACTTGCGCCCAGCTGGGAGGCTGAGGAGGATGGCCAGATGGTGAGACCCTGGCTTTAAAAACAGCTCAGGGGCCGGCAGGTGGTGTGGAGGTTAAGGCGTTGGACGCCACGTGGCCAGCCGCGGTTCGAGTCCTGGTCCTGGCGGCCTGCCTTCTCGTTTCTGTCCCTCTCTGGTCAAAATTGTAATAATAATCATTCCATTTAAATTTAATGATTATCTTTAAAAAGTACCTAAAACGGGGCCAGCAGGTGGCGTGGTGGTTCTGGTGCTGGACCCCCACGTGGCCGACTGCCGTGTGTAGGCGGCTGGCCTTCTCGCCCTCCCTCTCTCTCTCTGCGGCTCTCTCTGGTCAAACTTAAAAACTAATGATGATGATGATGATGACTGAGATTAAATAAAAATAATTTAAAGTAATAACTAAAATGGCAATTTTCTCTCACCAGAGAGAGAGAGAGCACCCTCGGGGCGTGGCCACCCTGCAGCCTGTCTCTATGGTTCCACCCCATCGAGATCTGGGCATGCGCCTACGTGCCTGCCGCGTTGTTCAGGCTGCCCTGCACCACGCCCTTGGCCACACGGGGTCCGCCTTCCGTGACCAGCAGGGCCATGCCGGGCCCAAATACCGTGTTTCATCGCAAAGGAAGAGCGCACCAGGAAAACACTCGCTCTTCTGACGAGCGAGAAGTCGTGGGCCGGGCCGTCTGCTGGCACCTGCAATTACAGGCTGCGTGGAGTTTAAGGCTTGGATCCCACGTGCTCATCTCAGCAGTTCAAGTCCCAGACACGGAGGCTCGGGAAGCACACTAGGTACACATGTGCCCAAAGTCCCGGAGAGACTGGGGCAGTCGCAGCGTGGCCATCCCCTGGGCGGCTCGCTCTCCCTCCCTGGAGAGCACATGTGCCTTGGAGCAAATGTTTAAGGAAGGGGCAGCAGGTGGAATGGTGGGCGAGGCGCTGGACTCCCTCCCACATGGCCACCCGTAGTTCGAGTCCCAGACCTGGCAGCTTGCCTTCTCATTTCCCTCCCTCTCTGGTGAGCATATGGGCCCCATAGCAAATACAATAATAATAATAATTAGTGGGACCAGCAGTTGGCGTAATGACTGTCGCTGGACTCCCATGTAGTCAACCGCAGTTCGAGTCCCGGACCCGGTGGCTTAAACTCACATTGGGTGCGTGTGCGTGCGTGCCCAGGATCCCGAGAGGAGGATGAAGGAGAAGGGATTGCGGCGTGGCCATCCTCCCCAGGGGCGATTTCTCGCTTTCTGTCTCTGTCTCTCTGGTGAGTGCACTTGCCCTATAGTAAAAACCTCTCTAAAAAGGGGAATAGTTATAGTAATTAGTAAAATTAAGTACATCATTATTAAAAAAAGTAAAAAGAGGTGGCCTAAAAACGTGGCCCTGAAAGCCCCGCGCGCCAAGGGCTTGTCGGCCGGGCCCGGGTGTGGCTGCTCACGGCCCACACCGCCTCTGAGTTTACCTCTCCCGACAGGGCAGTAGGCAGGAGAGCTCCATCCACCGGCCCAGCTCCTGAGAGGTCTGAGCGAACTCCCCGGAGAACTCCCGGGGACCTCGGCAGGGCAGAGGGGCCACGACCTGCCCATGTCCCTGGTGCCTCCATAGGAGCCGTCTCTGCGGGTCTCTCGCCTCCGCTCGCGCCGTGGACACGGCCATGCTACAGAGAGAGGGTTCCCACCCAGGCCTCGGGTAGGCTGAACACTCGGCGTCTCAGCTGACATCGGGGCCGGGGGCCGCCCTCGCCGTGCAAAATGGCTAGAGGGCATGTGGGCTCACCGGAGAGAGGGAAAGAAGTCACCGGGGTCACACCACGGCCCGCCTCCATCCTCCTCTCGGGGCTCAGGCATGCACACACATGTGGACGCCTGGCGTGTTTTCAAGCCTCCGGGCCCAGGACTCGAACCATGCGGGCGGTCAGGTGTTCCCAGCCGCCTCGCCCCACCCCACCGCCGACCCTTCCCCGACTAACCCGGGCATGCGGGCTCAGGTGCAGCTCCCTGGAGCCGGGTGACCGGCCTCACAGGCCTCTGGGGCGGTCAGAGAGCCGGGAGAGTGGGCCGTGTGGCTGTCCTACGGGGCGCAGCATGTCTCTGTGTCTCTGTCTCCTTCTGCTGAGCGCACGCACCCTCTGGCGATTAGAAATACCTCCCCTGGGGCCGAAGGTGGCGTGGTGGTTGAGGGCGCTGGATTCCCACGCGGCCGACCACGGTTTGAGTCCTGGATCTGGCAGCTTGCTTTCTCCCTCTCCCTCTCACTCTGTCCCTCTCTGGTAAAATTAAACCAATAAATAAACACATTTTTAAAAAGAGAAAAAGAAATGTCTCCCTTGCCTCCCTCGCACAGCTCCCGGACCGAAGCTGCAGGACAGCGTCCCCCGCGCGGCCTCTCCGGCCTCTCCGTCACACTCCAACCCTGTTCCAGGCCCCAGGGGCCATGGTGCCGCCTGACCGCGGGGGAGGCCCGGAGCCCGGCTGAGTCGTCGCCCTCTGCGTCCCAGCTGCAAGTGGCTGCGGCCACAGGAGGGTCGCGAGTTCGAGGCCGAGTGGGCAGGGCAACGTCCACCTCGAAACCCGAACAGAAGGAGCCTCCTGGCACCGGGACAGGTGCGCTCAGGGGAGCTCTTCGCCTCCCGCGGGCGTCTGCCCTCCCCGACAGCCACGGCAACGGCTCGGCCCGGTGGGCACAGGCCGGCCCCAGAGGACATGCCGGCTTGGGGGGGCCCCGGCACCCCAGGCCCTCAGCCGGGGTGAGAGTCGGAGAGCTTGGCTCACCCGTGTGGCCGGCAGGGGCTTTGGGACAGGGCGGTGGCCAAGGGCTTGCGAGTACTGGGAGAAGTGGGGAGCAGAACCACCCACACCCGGTTTGGAAGCCGAGGCCGCGGTGTCCCGTAACCGCGAGGGCCGGTGGGGCCAGCTTCCGGCTCAGCGCGGTCCAGCACGCTCGCTCCACCAGCGCTGGGAGTGCCAGCCCTGGCCCGGATGGAGGCCCTGGTCCGCCACATCCCCTGCACCCCCCACCCCGCCATCCTGGTCTGCGGCAGGGACAGCCCACACGCGGCCCCCTGGACCGGGAGGTGGTAGGCAGGGCCCCAGGCACCCAGCTCCGGTGGACCAAGTGCGCGGACAGACCCTGGCGGGACGGCCAAGACGGGCGCTGCTTCCTCCGGGACAGCCGTGATTGCACCCACCACCAGGGGGCGCCAGACACCGGGATGAGCCCCGGCCTGGGTGCCCCCAGCCCACCGCGTGC